TATTATATTTACTAGATTTTACTTAGTAAATATATTTAAGGTTTAAAAATTAAATAAAGTACTAGCTACTATATTTCTTTATTATTAATATTTAGATTTTATATTATTAGTTTTACTTTATATTTATTTATTTATATTAAAAAGCTAGGTTTTTTTATAAAAAGAAATATAAAAGTAATTAGTAAAAGAAAGAGTATTTAAGTAAATATATAATACTATAGAGTATTATAGTATATAAATAAATATTAAAAAATAATAAAAGATAATTAATAATAGTATTAGTATTAAAATACTTTAAAGATAATTAGTATAGTATTTTTTATACTAATTATAGTATTTTTTATTAGTATAATTTATATATTAATATATAAATAACTATTTATAGTAATTTAGTTATAAGCTATATAATTCTATTATTAATAGTAGAGTTTCTATATTATTATAATAGTATTAAATTAAATCTTTTACTATTTTAGTCTATATATTCTAAACTAATAGTTAGATTTAATAGTTAGTATTAGGTTTTACTTTACTTTATTATTAGTTTTAAATATTATAAACTTCTAGTATTAAAATTAAGTAAATCTTAGTATTATAATATAGTAAATATAGTAGTTAGATTATATTTTCTTTTACTAAATATATTTTATTTAATATATTTATACTCTAAAATAACTAATTTTTTTATTATATTATAGAGTATTTATAGTTTTTAGTTTTTATATAGCTAAAAAATACTATATTTATTATTTTTAAAATAGTAGTAAATATATTTATTTCTATTATAATCTTTAATTAAAATAAAAAAAAATATAATATTATTTATAAAATAGTTAGTAATATAAATAGTAGCTTATAATTAAACTAAACTAATTAATTTAAAAGCTAGTATATTATATAATTTTAGAAAAGTTATATAAAAAAGAGAAAAAGTATAGTATTTTAGGTTTCTAGAATTAATCTACTTATATAGATTTAGACAGCCTGGCTAGGGCTCTTTATAGTAACTTAGGCTAAATTTCTCTATTTTATTATATTTATATTACTGTTTAATTCCATAATGAGTAATGGACTAGATTTAAGCAATATAGATAAGGAATTCTTCTCTTTTAAGCTGGGGGCTTAAGGGCTTTATATAGCTATAGGCTAAATAAGCTTTTTAGCAGCTCTATTAGTAGTTTAAAGTGATATTATAAGCTTTTCTAGCTTAGTTAAAGCTTTCTATTAGTATTATAGCGCTCTCTATCTAGGCATAGATTATAGTAAGGCTTCTATAGTATAATTTTATTTAGTTAGTTAGTATTTATTTAATGAGTTAACTAAAGCTTCCTAGCTAAACACTAACCCTGCCCTAACTCTCCCTTAATATTCTATTATATTATATGCCTATATATATATAGCTTATAATATTATAGCTATCTATAGCTTAGCTACTTAGCTAGTTAGCTACCCTATATATAAGGGTAGCTTAATAATAGCCTTATTATTATTTCTCTTTACTATTTATAACTATATTAATTACTAGAGCATTAGGTACTATCTCTACTATTTATTTACTCTTTACTATTTATACTTTATACTATATATTCTTTTCCTTATTATATAAAATTACTATTACTAGTAATTTTATATTAATATTTTTATTAATTAATTAAATACTATTTAATTAGTAAATAGAAATAAAGAATTAAAATAGAATATATTAATAATAAATTTATATTATAATATTTTTTAAGTTTCTATATAAATAATAAAACTAAAGTAAACTATATAATAATAAAATAATATTAATTAAAAAATACTTAGAGTAATTTTATTTTAAATAAAAAAAAAGTTTTTTTAGTATTTATAAACTATAATAAAGTTATATAACTACTAAAAGAACTTTAAAAATAAATATAGTTAGTTTTTATAGTAAAATAATAAAACTAATATTTATTATAATTCTAATATTAAAAATATAATAGTAAGTATTAAGTAGTAAAAAGCCTTTAAGAAAGTATTTAGTAAGTATAGTAATTAATTAAAGTTAAAAGGATTTTTATATATAGAATTATATAATAAGATTTTTAAAGGTAATAAAGCTTAGAAAAAGTTAATTATAAATACTATAATAATTAATTCTAATAGTAATACTAAGAATATATTTAAATTATAAACTATAGAACTATTATAGTTTATTTTCTTTTTAAGCTTTTTTAAAAAGTAATTATTTTTAAGTTTAGTTTTATTAATAGTTAGAAAAAAAAATTCTAATAAAAATAATAGGTTTTTAAAAAAAACTATAAATCTATAATTAAAATAGTATTATAAAAATAAAGTTAAAGTTACTATTAAAGCTAATTAAACTTTTTAGTATTTATATAATTATAATTACTATTAAAGATTATAAATAAACCTTTAAGCTTTTTAATAAAAAGATACTTAAATTTATTAAAATAATAAAAGATTTATAAAAAGGAGTTTTTTAGAATTTACTTAGTAATAATAAAGAGATTAAAAAACACTAGCTAGAGAAAAAAGTTAATATTATAATTAATAAAAAGCTTAAATTTAAATAGCTAGAAGAAATTAATAAAGTTAAAGTTATAATATATAGCTTTAAATAGTATAAAATTCACTATAAATAGTAAAGCTATTAAATCTATTAAGCTTTACTTTATATATATATAAATTACTATAAAGTTATTATAAAGCTTAACTATTAAAATAAAAAAGCTATATTAAAAGTTTTATAATTTTAATATATTTTAATAACTTTATACTATTATAATAATTTTAGCTTTTATATAATTTAAAAATAAAACTTAGAATTAGTTTTTTTATATTAAATTTACTAAAAAAAGTATTTAATTTTATTAAAATTAAAGTTTTAAAGATAGAATTATATAAATTAGTTAAATAATTCTATTTATAATAATAGTATTAAGGAATCTCTAGAATCTCTTTATATTAGTTTAGTAATTAAAGGCTATTAGTTTATAATAGCTTATTATAAACTTTAGAGTTTTAGTTTATAACTATATAATAGTCTTTATAACTAGCTTAAAACGCCTAGATTTTTAGTATTAATATTTTTAATACTCTAACTTTATAGTCTTTCTTTAATTTCTATATATTTTTTACTAATCTATATATTTAAATACTTTTTTAATTCTTTTTTTTAATTTTTTTTATAGTATAAAACTATTTAAATATTTAACTTATTACTTTACTTTTCTTTAGACTTTATTAAGCTTTTTACTAAAGTCTATATTAAAGAAATTATTTATTATATTTTTTTAATAAAAATAAAATTCTAAATTTTAGTAAATATATATATAATATATATTTAGTTCTTAAACTTATATTTAGCTAGATTTTTTTATAGTATTTTAAACTTTTATTTTATAATATTAAATACTTTTTTAACTATTAATTAGAATTTAATATATTATAAATTAAAACTATTCTTTACTATTACTAATTATTTTTTTTTTAAACTTTTTAAAATAATATTTTTTAATAGAAAAGATATTATAATTTTTAATTTTATAAAAATCTAAAATTAATAAAATAAAACCTTTTTAATAGTATTATAAAGCTATTATTTACTACTTAGTAATATAATAATATATTATATATACTTTTTTTAGTTTCTATATATATAAAGAAAAACTATATATTAAAATAAATAGTAATAAATATATTTTATATAACTTTTTTCTTTTAATTAAAAAATCTTTTTTAATTTTAAATAAAAAAATAAATAGTAATATAAACTTTATTAAATATATTAATATATTCTATAAATACTTTTAATTTATTTAATAGTTTAATTTTAATAATAATAAAGTTATTATTAAAAAGCTTAATAAACTTAATATATAGCTTTATTATTATTTTTAATATCTTATTAAATATATAGAATATTAAATTTTATAAAAGCTTAAAAAATATATTATATTTTACTAGATTTCTTTATATATATATATATATATAAAAATTATAACTTTCTATTTAAGGGATTATTATTATAAAAAATAGAGTTTTATATATTAATTAAGCTAATTATATAGTAAATTAAATATATTATATTATATTTAGAAAAGGTTTTTAAATTACTATTTAAAACTATAATAGAGATTTATTATAATAAACTAACTTTTTACTATAATACTATAGTATTTAAACTTACTATAGTATTTCTTTTAATTTTATTTCTATAAAATAGCTTTAATAAAAAAAATTATTAATATATTCTAATATAAAGCTATTTATATTACTAATATTACTTTTTTTTTTAAATATTATTAACTATATAAGCTATTTTTTACTATAGCTTTTAACTTTTTATTAGTCTAAAATAATAACTTAGTAATATACTATAATATTAAACTATTATTTTATTTTTCTATTAAATTTCTACTAAAATAAATATTATAATAATAATTTATATAGCTTTAAGTCTAATATAAAAAAAATATATTCTAGTAGCTATATATTTTTATTTTATATTATAACTTTCTTTATTAAGGTAAAAGGCTAATTAGAAATATACTAGCTTTATATTTTTATTTATCTTAATATAGAACTAAGGGTAGAATTACTATTATCCTAAACTTAAGATCAGGGCCTAAGGCTAACTCCACGCCACTTCCATGAAGGCCGCCCTGTCCCACCCAGAAAAGCCTTGCAATGCCATCATTCCTAAGGACTTGTTCCAGGCCGGCAATGAATAAAAACAGTCCTGTAATTTGCCATGACGCAATCGCAAACCTTTTTGCTCTTGCTCATTATCGCTTCATGGTGTTGCGGGCACCAAATACGGAACCTGCCACAAGCTCCAACTTCGCTCGCCATTTTTTCTCCCAGATCGCCATGCAGCCTCTGGGACGGATCCTGTGCAAACGAGCCTGGAAATTTTGGCTGCGACTGACCAAGGGAAACAGTAAAGAGTTACAAGAAACGTGGAAAGGCCAAGAACAAAAGACAAAAATGCAAAAAGAAAGGTGGTTAAATGCTCACTACCAGGATCGAACTGGCGACTTTTGCATATCTGAGCGGATGCTCGTATTAGTACAACACTCTAACCAACTGAGTTAAGCGAGCGTGCTTGTTGACGAGGGGTGAAATAATGAGCACTATGATGGCTGTGTTTTGGCCAGCCGGCTACCCTATACCATAGCTTGACGATAGCCTCGTTGTTTTCTCTGCTGTTTCCGGCTGCATTAATTGCCGGGGACTTGACCGCATCTACTGTATTACCTCTCGACTGCTACTTCTACCTCGGACTGCATACCACTTTTCTTCATCATAGTGGCTCTGTCAAATTTGCCACTGTTTCCACAGTTGGATATGTCCACTCTTCCTCGTCAACGATATCCAAATCCACGGTGGGAATATACGGCAATTCGCCATTCACCAGCCATTTCTCATCTTCTTCCCAACTTCCAAAAACAGGCCCATTCGTATCTTCGAGTCCTCCCTCATTGGCATCTGCCCATCTTGGCCACGAATCCAGGAGGTACTCACGAACACGGTTCGTCCAAGGCCACAGCAGCGGCCGAGTGCCGTCGTTCTTGACGCAACTTCCGCCCACGCAAAGTGTCTGCAGATGAGGCACCGCCTTGAGAATTAGTCTCCCAGCTCTCTCACTAGCAGACATGTCCCGTATCTCCTCGGTCCGCCCGTACTTAGTTCCACCCGGACCGAAGTAGGCATTTGCACACCCCACAGACTCGATATTCGACATTCCCAACCCATAGGGGCCCGGAAGATCGAGAGAGGTAAGATTTTCGAATAGCAAAAGTGCTGGGAGTATGGCCTGCAGCTTGTCAGCCTCTTGGTTTCCCTTTGTAGGGTAATGGTGGGCGGCATGCTTACCTTGATTCTAGCCAAGTCCGGCTCAGTGTCCCCCGTATGTATATACCCCTCTAGACTGCCACGTATCGTCAAATTCTCGAGACCCGGCGCACTCTGATGCAGTGATTCAACGAAAGGCGGCGTCCACAATGCCTTTATCCTGACTTGAGTTAGATGTTCCGAATCTCTTAGTGCATCAACAACCTTCCACTTTGGTGAATTGCGCGGCTCTAAACCTTGCCATGGATTAAACCAATTGAGCCGTTGGTCAAAGCCGACACTTTGAATATTCTGGGCAAATTCTAAAAGGAACGCTGTATGTTCCTGGAGGCCGAGATGCAGCAGAGATGGGAGTGAGAGATCTACTCTAAGGAACTCTTCGCGAAATAGCGAAGCGCTGGCCTCGCGGCAACCTTCCCATTCTAGAGATGTCAAGTTTGGCATTCTGCTCCATATGTCGGCGACTAAGCGTGTGACGGAAGATGACTGCAAGAGCTCATCTTCCCCGTCCAGCGCCAATCGAAACTCTTGACAAGTCTCGATGGCTGCTGGGCAGGCTTGGATCTCCGCTAGTCTAGCCTCTACGTAAACCAAGTCCTCCTCGTAAAGCAAGTCTTGGTCTATCACTAGTCTCCGAAACAAATCAGCCGGGACTGTTGGGATTATATCGCGCTGTATCGATGTAGCGTTGCAGAGGGCTTCGGCCGGATCGTCAAGTGATTTGATCGCGTAGTAGTTTGTCTTGACATATTCGTGGTCAAGATCCAAGATGAACTTGGGTATCCTGACAGGTCGGAACAAGTTCCATAGTCTAGAGAGCGGCTGTTGAAATGCCAAAGATGAACTGATAGCCGAGAACAAAAGGAAAAATGGAAATGGTTTCATATTTTCAGAAGTTCTCAGAACGAGACAGGGGTATCAAGACGTGTCGTCGTTAGGTAGAAATTGTAATATCACAACACGTTAATCAAGACGTTGGCTTCGCGAAAGATAATACAAAGCGGAAGATTGCTCTTATGAAGAAAGCTGACTGGAGCGAAGCAACGTGGTCTGAACTCGGATGGAAGCCTAGAGGGGCACAGCAAGTGCTAAAAATAAATAAAGCATGCAACCCAAAGTACCCACCGTTCGTTAGGTAAGACAGTTGCGACTCAGTAGGGAGATGTGGTCGTTAGGAGGCTGCAAATCAACCCCGCACCAATGACTCAATATCACAAACCCTCTACCTAGTACCTAAAGCTGCCTAGCCCTTCTACTCCCGCACTATGTCGTTGTCTCTAGCCGTACGGTCTTTAAGCCTCACTGGAAGAGATGTCCTCCGGGTCGAATGGAAGAATACATACGGCCAGACCCAAGAAACCCATCTATCACTTGATCAACGACTTGGCAACCGTGAAGGCTCGTTTCTCATTGGCGGTGTACGTTTCTCTCACAGTGCCCGAGATATATCCCTTGTTGGCGATGTCCTTCACGCGACCTTGTCCAACAGCCGCGGGGTATGGTGAGATGACCAACTTGCAATCGATGTTGAGATTCAGCAGACAGGAGGTGGGCCAGGTCAACTAAGCGTCAAGTTTAGGCGTTGTGACTTTATGCGTCTCAAAGGTAGTCGCAATCTCTGACTCATTGACAACTTCCTCTTAGCCGCGGAATTCCTGGGCACAAATCTTTGTTACCAAGAATCATATTTGGACTTGAACTGTTGTCTTGGGAGCAGCAAGGGGTCATTTGATAGAAACGAGGGAGACTTCTCAATTTCAGCGCAGAACATAGTCCTGACCGGATCGACATTGTGGGCGGACTTTGGTGCATGGGAAGGAAGGCAGGCTTGGGCTTCGATCGAACTCTCGAGCATCTTGCGGTTTACGGATAGTGGCATCCGGCCACTCAGGCATATTGACCAAAAGGACTGTGAGGTCGAGGTCATAAGAGACAAGTCAGGCCGAGATTGGCACTGGCTACCCAATGCATGGAATATACGACTCATTAGCCACAGACAGAAGCGGGTTTGGCATCTCGTGGCCGATTGCCTAACGCCAGATGGTCGTTTGCACGAGTCTCTTTTCAGACTAAGTGATATCATAGGACCCCATGTTGACGAAATCTTTGGACAGCCATTCTTCCTGCGACCTGATATACCGCACCAGGCGCTAGAGGTCGTCTTAGAAGGCGGATTCTTAACCGCCAGTTTCATTCTTAAAGACGAGAATGAGGCCATCAATTGGGTGCAACGGTCCATCAACCTGCAAGATGTCGTTTCCAACAGTGGAGGCCATCTAACACTGAAGAGGTCAGGATCAAACTGTTCAGGGTGCGCAGAGCTATTCTATGCAAACACCTTTTACACTCCCCCCAAAGGGCGCCTGGTGCCATTGAACAGCCAGGATGTGGAAGCAAATGCGAAGGATTGCACGCTCTGTGGGCTCCTACACAGGACTATTTTAACATTCAAGCCTCTGAGCGGACCCTATGAGGCATGGATTGAGACAGCCCCTGCAGCAAGTACATATCTTCGAGAGCCACGACTCATGGAACTCGTCATACGAGCGCAAGCTAAGTCCAAAATGCGCAATGCATTCCGTCGGCACATTCACCTTGGCCAGAGCGGCAGTGACACACGACCCGAGGAAATCCGCTGCGTCATCCAACTCGATGTAGGAGAACAAAAAGGTGCCGAGATCACGAACGCAGCCCACAGAGCCTTGCGCACAATTCCACGCAGGGCGGTAGGCCTATGCTGGCTGCAACCGGATCTTCGGTGGTCGACTCTGCAAGACTGGATAGCTATTTGCGCAAAGGAACACGAACAGTGTCGGAAAATGGAGCCTGCTGAGCTCCCAACACGCTATCTAGACATTGGATGCCGCGATAATGACCGCATAAAGGTGGTTACTTCACAAGTTGGAGAAAAGGGCACGTATGCCTGCTTAAGCCACTGCTGGGGTGGTAAGAGCATCTGCACTCTCACGTCCGACACTGGCCCTCGTTTCTCAAAGGCAGTCCCGCCGCGCTTGCTCCCCACTGTCTTCAAGGATGCTATCACGATCTGCAGGAAGCTGGGGTTTCAGCGGATCTGGATCGACTCCCTCTGCATCCAGCAAGACAATAGAGAAGACTGGATGTGCGAGGCACCCAAAATGGGACAATACTACTCCAACTGCACCATCTGTATTGCCGCCACCAGCTCAGCAGACTCCAACGGCAGCCTGGAGCCCGAACCTCGCCCCTCAGCTGTGCGATCACAAGAGATAGCAAACTCCAGCCTCGTCTCCCATCCCACGCACCTGCTCCAATACAAACCTCACTTCTCTCACACCCGCGATCCTCGCTCTCTTTTAGACCCCTTTCCCCTCTTCACGCGGGCTTGGGTTCTCCAAGAACGTCTCCTGGCTCCGCGCACGTTGCATTTTTGCCGTACCGAGGTCGCCTTCGAGTGCTCCGAGTCACGTACCTGCGAATGCGGTGCCTTTTCAAAAAATGTCTGGGACATAGGCGAACGACCTCCGAACACCTTCATTCGCTACACGTTTAGCTCCAACGACGGGCTCATCTGCCGCCGAAAGCCGCTGGTGATACTACCGTGGCCAGAGCTCGTCTCAACATACAGCTTGCTCGATTTGACACACAAGACCGACAGACTGTTGGCTATTTCAGGTATAGCACCGATAATGGCGACAATTCACGGGTGGAAAGGAGAATACTTTGCGGGGTTGTGGCAGCATAGACTTGCGAGCGATCTGATGTGGTATGTCGGCGATCTCTTTCCTAAAATTACGAGCAGCACTACGCAGCTTGATGTCAACAGTCGACCGGTGGAGCGGAGGCAACGGCCGACACAGTACATCGCGCCCTCATGGTCTTGGGCGTCGGTGTTGGATCAAGTGCAGTATTTGCGGGAGGACAGGGAATATTTGTTCGATGTGCTTGACGCTCGGGTCAACCTCGTGTCAAAGCATGAGCCTTTTGGTGCCGTCAAAGAGGGCTGCTACCTCCGGCTACGAGGTAAGACAGTTGCATCATCATGGACCAAAAGGCCCGGAAGGAACAGTGATCCTCATTCGAACTCGGATCAATTTATTCTCGCGGATGTCGTCGGTACCCAGTTACTGGATAACGACGACACGAAAGGTGTGGCGTTCTCTCCAGACTACGCTATAGATGGCGAGGGCGCGAACCAAGTGGCGTCAGACACGAAATTGTACTTGTTTCCACTGGCAACAGGCAAAATAAGTCTCCACATAATGGCT